TGTGGAGCTGGAGGAACACAGTGGGCCAGGCAGCATCAGAGGAGCAGGAAAGTTGACGTTTTGGGTCGGGACCTTTCTTCAGAAATGGGGAGGGAGAAGGGAGCTCGGAAATAAATAGAGAGAGGAAGGGTGGGGCTGGGGAAGGTAGGTGGGATGGTGATAGGTAAGTGCAGGTAGGGAGTAGTGGGGATTGGTCAGTGAATCAGAAGGAGCGGATAGGTGGGAGAGAAGATGGACAGGTTGTGTCAGGTTAAGGAGGTGGGGATGAGGGGGCGGGTTGGTCATGGGATGAGGCTGGGGGTTGGGAAATTTTGAAACTGGTAAAATCCACATTTAGGCCATGGCGCTGTAGGCTCCCAAGGCAGAATATGAGGTGCTGCTCCTCCAGTTTACAGGTGGCATCATTGTGACACATTATTATTATGCTTTTGTCATTCTATATATTCAGGTCAAATGACATGAAGATTAAATGATAAGTACGGTTCATTTTTTAAATTCTAACCTATGATCTCACAAAGCTGCTCAGATGTTCCTCACATGTTGATCGGAGTGCCATGCACAGTTTTTGAAGCTATTACAGTGCACAGATCTCAAAAGTCCTCAATGTGGGATAAAGAAACAGTCATGTTGATTCTGAACTAATACTCAATAGTATAAACAACAACAACTTGCATTGATGTAGGCTCTTTAAAGTAGCAAAAATACCCACTGCATTGCACAAACAAAAATCAAACAAACTTTGATACTGAGCCACAAAAGGAGATGCCAGAACAATAGCCAAAAGCTTTATTGAAGAGATTGGTTTTAAACAGTGTCTTAGTGGGACATGGAGAGGTTTTAGGGAATGAATTCTAGAGGCTAGGGCTGCCAATGGTGGTGGGGTGAAAATTAGAGACACATAAGAGGTCAGAATTGGAGAAGGGTAAACATCTCAGAGGGTTGTGGGACTAGAGGAGGTTACAGTGTCAGGGAGGGGTATGTTCATATATGGCCTGTCGTCAAATTTTGTTTGATAAAGCAATTGTGAAATACTTTACATAATTTCTACTGCATTGAAGGAATAATATAAATACAAGTACTGTTATCAACTGGCTCAAGGTAATATTGATAAATGCCTATGTGAAAATTACCTGTCCCTGCTCCATTATGGTGAAATTGGGAACCAAGAAAAGTAGAACAAATATCTTTAAACAGGATGTAACTGAACCACTGGCTTAATGAGCAGACAAAACTAGTCCAACCTTTGAACCTGTGTTAATCCCAGTGCAAGCAATGCCAATGAAGTTTGATGTGTCAATGTGCTCAGTAATCACAATACGTAATCGCTCCAAGAATACATATTTCACTGTAAAATGTCAGAATTAAAAAGGAACTTTCTTGACAGAACAAACATAATATTGACAAAGGTCCCCCTTGTGACTGGATGTATGAATATTTCTGTTAAATGAATATGACAGATTCAAGTCTAAATGTTTCACCTGCCTTTAGCAATTTTCCCGCCCATTATACAGCCTGAATACTGAGCAAAACCAGTTTATTGGTTATTGGCAGAAGGAACAGATTGTAAAATGCGGAACAAAGTAAAATTGTAAGGAGAGCTTTCATGGTTCATGGCTCTTGCCATTTCTGCTTTATAATTAGTGGTATCAAATTACATGGTGCAGTATAAAGAACTCGACAAATATCTTGCTGAAATTCTGCTTTTCAAAAATTGACCCTGACAATAGTGTGGTAATTTGTACAGGTATTCAGTGCACAATAAAAGATGAAAATATTAAAATCTTATTTTTGATCAACAGAAGCAAGCATGAGATGCTGCTTAGAAAGGCCTGTACACCAACACATTCAGCATTTCTCTAGATGAGAAATTTGACTACTTTTTCCAATTGTCCAATGTTTCTTATTATTTTTCACCACAAGTAAAACTACAGTTGGAAAACAATTTGCTTTTATAAGACAAATTGAATAATATTTCTTCGTTCATACACTTGATTTACTTACTGAACACACCCATCCACCTAGAAATCACATTCTCTTTCTCACATATAACGTTCGTGATAATAAAGAAATTAATGCTGCACTTACTTAACTGCTGTAAGTCGAGGAGGTAATACCAGGAGCTGGTCTCTCTCAGTTTCTGATTTAACTCCAGGATAATTTTTGTGGTTGTGTGCCTACCCGTGATCAGAAATAGTCCTCTTCCTGTTCAGCACCGAAACTAGAATGACATGACTCACAACAACTTCCTCTATGAATCACCGCAAGGTGTTTCATTAGATCATGCAGTCACCAGGTAGATTGCCCCAATTCTCAGAAACATTTTGCAGGTTGAGGCCATTGATGATCAACTGTTGCTGATAGTGTAGCTGCAACAGTGGATTTTCCAATGGGCACATGATACGTTCCTGCAGTAACTATTTAATTACATCCATCAAGATGCCTGTAAACTCTTTGTTACAGTAAAAATTCACTGAGAATACACTAGGATGATTTTTTGCTATGTCATCATTATGTTATTTCCAGTTATATTTCTGTGGTGTAGCGTACATTGTAAAAATAGCGTTAATCTAAACAGTGGCTCAGAAATTCCTAAAATAATGCCAAATTTAATTGCACCTTTTTTTAGTGCGTAATAAAATCTGAAAGTCATGGTAAGGAATGGATATACTGTGAATTGCTTTTTAAAATTCTTTCACAGGATGTAAGCATTCCTGGCTATGTCAGCATTTGTTGCTCATGTCTACTTGCCCTTGAGATGGTGATATTGAACCTTCTTCAACCACTGTAGTCTTTGTGGCTTAGGATTTGTCATGAAGTGAGTTTCAGGATTCTGATCTGGCAACAATGAAGAAGCGGTAATATAGATCCAAATCAGCATGCTGTTTGGCCTATGTTGAGACAATCATTATTTTTCTTTTATTTTTCTCATTTCTTCTTGTGTGTATCTTATGAGAATTGCACTTTGAACAGCAGCTTGTTATTTTCTTTAAAATAAAGAGAACAAATGCCGATATTTGCTGTTGGGAACTGGTCTGGAGAGATAATGCAGGTTAATTACTTTTCTAAGAAAACTCAGCAATGAGATGTTGTGATGCTCAGGGACTGGCAGCCAGTGTAATGTTGAATTGGTCAATCAAGGGAGGACCGTGCTAGCCAGCCAACCACAGAGAATGTTGAAAAAGAAAGAAAAAAGCGAAGACCGAACTGGTTCTGACTAGGTTTTTGGGCAGGAGGCAGTATTGCTTTCAACTGATATTATAGCTGCCAGACTGTGTTTCTTTTGGTTTTACTCCTGCTAGTTATCCTCCAGATACCGAATTGTTAAAAATCCAGAGAAAAGAATGCCAGTCTGTAAATCAGAAACAAAAGCAGAAATTGCTGGAAATGCTCAGCAGATCTGACAGCATCTGTGAAGAGAAAATCAGAGTTAATGTTTCAGGTCTGGTGACCCTTCCTCAGCACTGACCCCAGTTCTGAGGAAGGATCACTCTGATTTCTTTTCACAGATGCTGCCAGACCTGCTGAGCTTTTCCAGCAATTTCTGTTTTTGTATAAGAGAAAGGAAATCTCCCCAGAGGTCTGGGGAAGCTGCTTGCATTGACTGGTGACTTCAGAATTTAATCAAGACACAGTCCTACATGCTTGCAATACAACCCATCAGATTTCATAAAAGCCTGATATTCATCTTTGAAATGGTTATCAAACTTGCAATTTATAATTTTTCTTTTAAAAATGTATCCCTTACCTGTGTCTCTCGGTCTGTCCATCTGTAGTTATGTGTAAGGGCTTGTGATCAAAGAAAATTTGGCTTAGGTTGTAGATATTAATTAGGTCACCTCATTATTCATGTGTTTCACTAAAGTTACTCAATAATAGATTGTTACTTTTTGTTTACTTATAAACTTGGTTTCAAACATCTGTTATTTGTAAAGTCTGGTTGCGAACAATTGAGTAATTTTGATAATCATTGAATGTTCTAATCTCACTGTTGGGAATCCAGTAATGGGGAGCTAATTTGGTCTGGCTAACCGTCCTTGTGTCATAACACCTGCAGGTGGCAGTGTTCCTATAAATCTGCTGACCTTTTTCTGGCTAATAGAGGTAAAGACTGAGTGTTTACGGTGCTCCATTCCTGGTTTTGTGAAACTGTAACTCATGTCATTCAAATGTTGTTAACAATGCAATTGACAGCCCTGACTAAAAACTCAACCTTGAAGCCCCAAAAAGTGAATCATTATGACTGTGGAGTCTCTTTTCTTCAGATGGTAAATATTTATTTTTTTTTCAAAACAAAATATTACTTTATTTCTTTTTATTTTGTTTCTGGACCTGATTTGACCCTACTTTCTTCTCTATCCTTCCATTGTTTCTTTTTATATGCTAAATTTCATCAGTTAAGGAAATTGATCATTCAATTTGGCATTTAAGAGGTCCCAAATTTCCTGTTGATTGTTACTAATTTATATTTGGAGGAATTTGTGGACAAAAATGATGTGACCTGAAGGATGAGGGATAATGTCACACTTCATAGCACTCACCAGAAGGTGCCCTGCTCCAGCAATTTGACCTTCAGTGAATATTTTTATAATATAAACTTCAGATAGAAGTTGGCACTACCTTTCAATCACCTGCAGTAACAGCAGTACCACCCACTTTTAATGCTCAATGCTTCTTTTTATTTCATTTCAGGAGAAGAAAGCCTATAATCAGGTGGAAAGAACCTGAATGGATGGGGTGTGACCGACATTAGACTCCTCAGCTCATACAAGGATAGAATCCTGGCCGTTGTAGCGTCTTTCCTTGTGGAATCAGAGGGAGCACTTCAGGAAATTTTTAGATGAATCTTGATGGTATCTTCATCTTTCTCACCAGTCACCAAACCAATTCAGCCCAGTGGATGTTATATTAAAAGCAATAAGGAAGTTCACATTATGGTTACATATACAAGTTATAAACAATGACACTATGTTTCTAATATAATGAAACAATTCATGTTTTTCTAATTTTCATTCATTTCTGGGTTTTTATTGAAAATGAGATTCTTATGAATAAATATTTTCTTTTTGGGTCCATGGCCCGATTCCCATTTTATTGCAAATGACTTCCTGAAATTTACATAATTACAGCTCTAAATGTACATTGATCAGGTAATGCACCTTCTCACAGCCAGACTCTAAAATCTAATCAACCAATGGCTCACAAAGTGTTACTATTCAGAATGGTACTGGGTGGTAGGAATACCTGATTTGCAGCCAGTTGCTGCAGGTGGGGATAGTTGAAAGTTAACTATTACTGGAACTCATGAGGTCTCCTATAGTGCAATAACATCTCTGAACAGATTGATTAGAAATATCTATTAAAAGTCATTCGTGAACGTTCGCCAGATCTCAGTAGGAATGGGAGTACTTTGTTTTTGTTGATAGTGGGTGGCAAACAAAGCTAACTCAGCTTGCCTTTCTGTGAATTCTTGGCAACAAAGGCCAATCACAGATAGTAAATCATGGAGAGTACAGAGATGGGGCTCAGAAATTTCACACACCAACTAAGGTAAAATGAAAAAAGCTGGAAATGTCCAGTAAGCCTGCCAGCATCTGTGAAGAAGGAAACAAGAGTTAATATTTCAGGCCAACATCACCAAGTGAAGATTCAGTTTGAGTTTAGATTAGGAAGGCTAAATGTCTAATCACATCTACAAAGTTTATTCCTTTTGTCTCATCTCTAATTATTTACAACTGCACTTGTTTATTTTGGATCGTTTACCTGCCCAACCAGATCCTGCACTGGTGTACTATTTTTCTGAAAGGCACGACAAATGCCCTGTGGTTTCTGGTGAAGAAATTATTTTTGGTGAATGAAAACGAACTAAAGCTTACCCTACTTTCAAATGGCAGATAGATTTCCCAGGAGTGATTGAGGACAAAGTGCCCTGTCATCTTGGATGAAAAGGGCAATTTCAGTTATTGTGGAAACAAGACTAGCACACTTTCCTGCTGAATCCCACTGTGGAGTACAGAAGTCTGACTTAATGAATAACTACGAACAATGAATACAAGAAAATAAAAGAAAATGTTAAAGTTGTTCCCATGGACATCATATGCTTTTTTTTTCATTTGGGTAAATTGACTATTGTGGACTTACACCGAAAACCTGGAGTTAGAGCTGTAGCATTATTTCTCTACTTAATCTCCACTGTAGATATGGATGTGCTGAATTTATGTAGTTGGTCCTTTTCAATATATCATAAAATATAATCAAACCTCAATTTAATAAAAACTGGAAAGGAAATTTGAATTGTATGCCTGCAAAACTACAAGTTTTGAAGAGACTGTCAAAACTGACAGGAAGTAGGTGAGCCAAATACCCAGCATTATTATTGCTTGATAATATATTATATATAAATATATATATTTTTTGATTGGGTATCATAAATTTAGACAAAAGCTAATACATTATCAAGGAACATCAGTAGGCACTTAACACTATTCACAATTACTTCAGGCACAAGAAAAAACCTTATTAACTTCAATGTATAAAACAAAATACATCCTTTTACAAAGTTACTGCAATCAAAGAATCGCAAGTCCTTTGGCAATAAAAGACTCCACTAAAAAGGAGAGCTCCAACAGGCAGTTTACTTTGGGACAATATAAATTGATTGTGGTCTTTACAGCATGCCAGAAACTGTCACAAGAACAAGAGATTCATACATAATAATTCCAAAAGGGTTTATCATTTACAAAACAGCTTTTGGAAACAGTTCTTAGATTTTTTGTTAGGTCAGATATCACTGACATCTGCTACTGAAAGTACATCCACTTGGGTCTTGAATGTTGTAGAGAACTCCTTCGTGAGCAAACCATGTAAACAAATTCCATCGTGAGAATAGACCCATTTCTTCCCGGTCCAATCGTATCGTTTAGGCCCACTAAGGAAAAATGTACAGAGAATAGTCTGATGAAAATCCAGGTACATTTTAATCCTTATGTTACAGTGGTTGGTTCAGAGGGTGGAGGGTGGTGAGGTGTCTCAGCAAAATGAATTCACTAGCTGCCTGGAGAGCAGGAATGGGATTTTGGTGGCATTCTGATTAGATTGTAGGAAGGCAGCCAGATCCTTCCTCGTGCCCAAAGGGAGTTATAACAAAGGAAAAGCCTTCATATTCTCCCTGATCTCCTCTGGCTGCTGGGCTTCTTCTGCTGTGGTTCTGCAATCAGGCTGCAGACTCTGCAAGACTGGGGTGTGGTAAGGATCACATCATGAAGGTGATAGTGTCATCATGATGCTACTTTTGATTGTTAATTTGAACTCTGCCCTCCTTGTTACTTTGACTGTAGGAATGCAACAGATTGAAGTTGGGAGATGAAGTTTTCTTATTTTTAATCCCTCTCAAAAACTATTTTCTCTTCGAGCGCCAGTTCGTTTAGCTTCAATTTGCTCCCCTGACATCCATCCCAGCTTCTTATTTAATGTTCCAAATCTCTCTCTCCAACTTCAGGCCCCTAACTGCTTTACAAAGAGCCTGTCTTGTGTGATCACACTAGTACCTGCTCACCCTGGGGCTCCACCAGACAGCGCCTTCCTGGGCATGCACACGTACACACTATCGGATGAGAGAGTGCAACATCTGACTTTATGACTCTACTCACTGGTCAAAGCTAGTGAGCGGTGTTCATGGGTGCAATGCCCCCAGAGTAAGGTAACTAACAAAACTAAGAAGATAATTTGCAATGACGCATCATCCCACACAAAATTTATAGTGATTGGAGCAGGTACATGGTGGAGATAACCAGTCTAGAGAAGAAATTTTTCTAACTGATTTCCAGAATATGTGAATGCTGCAATCTCCATCTGTGGCCAGTTTGAACAAAAACATTACTTTCAAATACTTAATGTGACTTCAGAGAGACAGAAGCTGGCGCTGAAAGGAGAGGCTGTCACAGGGAGTGTAGCATAAGAGAAAGAAATATAAAATTGATCAACTTTCCTATGAGCCATATAATGTTTTTTTAAACTGCAAATTGCCACTGCACAAATTTAAACAAAAACCTTTGATCTGCATTCTGCAAATACCTGATGGGAGATGATAACCAGATTTGTCTGTTTGGAGTCTGTTTATTAATTACATAAGTCCCCAACGCTTCTCCCATATTTATTGTCAACACTCCATTCTGAAAGAAAATAAAGATATAGTTAGTCAGAAGAATATTTTACAAGTGCTAGTTGCCCTCCTGTGGACCAAGTGGAGGCTTCAGGAGAAGGTGGATTTAAGGTTAAGGAGTAATTACAGTTAATTAAACACAAATAATACATTATCAAAAAAAAACGTTTCTTTGTTATGATGAGCTAAACCCAAGTGCAAATACTTTACATTAACTTTAATATTTTGTAAAATAATATCAGGAAAATAAGTTTCCACGAGTTCCTTTTGATTGGTCTGAATTATGTAATTGATGTGGAACATAAAGCAGTACTCGGTTTACTTCCGAGACAACAAGGTGCAGGGCTGGATGAACACAGCAGGCCAAGCAGCATCATAGGAGCAGAGAGGCTGACGTTTCGGGCCTAGACCCTTCATCAGAAAAGCTTTTCTGATGAAGG